GGACTATAAGTGAACTTTGTCTTAACCTTGGATTATGAAATGTCTCCATACCTGTAAAAACTTTTCTCCCGATGATTATGTACATTGTGACGGTTAATGTGTATGATTTTTTAACTGAAATGTGAGCTCCAGTGCTTGCAAAAGTTACACACAATACAATTCAATACAATACAAACGGGTGAATGGAGTGAGATGTCAGATGCAAGCGATCGATGAACACCGTCACACGGAAGCGCCTGTGTGAATGAATGAACGATACTCTCACTTTGCCTAAAGCATGAATGAAATTAGACAGGTCACCTGCCAAAGGTCATCGTAACCCGGGTCTAAGGAGAGTTTGTGAGATGCACTTTTAGCTTAGCTTAGCTCTTGTGGTGATTCTCTGCCAACACAGACAGCATCAGATTCGGAACCTGTCCTCCGGTGTCGGTCCGAAAATCGCACGACCGATCGTTCGAATGGTTCAGCCGCAACAAGGGACCTAGTGCTTCCCCAGCTAACCCGAGCGAAAAAATCACACCTTGTTTAAGACCGTGAGTCTTAGGCAGGTCCAGTGAACTTCGACTGCGCAACAGGAGTGCCATCGGCACACGGATGGACTGAACGTGGCAACAAGATCATCACAAAAATTACAAGACAATGTGAACCGATGGAGTAATTGTACTATCGTACTATCCACATAGCAACATGACATCTTAAATTGAAAAAAGGTATGGCTTATGAATCACGTTAAAGCATCACTAGTTGAACTTAGTCCGACCAACAACGGTCATGATCAATGCATCAGTCGGTTTGAACATACACTGGTAAGAACAGAAGCGAACGAACGAATATATGTCTACAGACGTCGATGATACACATTTTTCAATAGAAAATCATGAATAGATTACACAACGAACAATCGGTTTGACTATGGGAAGGAAGTCAATGTTCCGAATATACCCCGTAACAGATATTTCACTTATTTTAGATGTTATTTTCCTTTCACGGTATTCGAACTGGTTCACCTTTAGTTTCCTTGAATGGGTTAATAATGATGTGATTATTATAGCTAAAACTGTTGTATATTATGGTGGAAGTCATATAATCAATTCTGTGGTTAGCCTAACGTTGCAACGGAATGGAGGAATATGGGATAACTGGGTCAGAAAAAGTTCCTCTGAAGAAAGGTAGGTAGATTCGGGATAACTAGACATATGGAACTGAAAAGGGTTGAATACCGGATGCAATGTAGCGACAATAAGCTGAGGGCGTCATAAAATATTTAAATTTCTGCGATACATACAGGATACGCAGGACGGTAGATTTAAATTCCGTTATAAATAAACAGTTTATAGTCATACCTATTGGGAACAACTAACGGGATTAACCTACTTTTCATCGATCCGGTTTATTTTGTCACAAAACTGCCAACTGATGTTTATACTGCTTATTAGCACCTACTATATCGCAGTTCCTGAAATTTACCCACTTTTTCGAATTCCCGAGGGGTGCGACATAGCAGGAGATTGACTGCATTTCTGTACTGTCATCAGTTTATCATTCAGACATTCGTTTTTATCATTATCGGAAGACAGTGAATCGAAAAAACCGTATTCAGTGCCTGATTAAAATGGAAGTTAGATAAACGTCAATTTGGTGGCACTAAATAGCGCTTGAGTTTTCACTTACCACTAGTCATTCTCCACATTCAAGCCGAATCGGTCTGATCAAAGAAACCAGACTCTAGTTTATTGATTGTGCATTTCTCCGTATATGAATCTCTTAACTCCTTTCACGTCATGGCCGTCGAATTGTTTCTTTAGGCACAAATGAATCTGGATTAAGACAAGTGATACTATTTCCAAAACATTTTGTGATTAAAATTTATTACTATCTACGGTCCTCAGAGTGAGTTACGTCCCCTTTAGTTATTACATAGTTATTATGTATCTTCATTCTTTGACGATCACATTTTCATTTCCAGTTTTTGGCACAAAAGATATGTGAATATGCACAAATTTTCGGATCCAACGGAAGCATATCTCTGGATCAGTTGAAAAAAATAATTGTAAGTGGGACACTTCCAATGAGGATTTTCTAATCTTCATTTTCCAGGTCAACTTTATGGTCTCCAGGTAAGTTTCTGTAAAATTCGTGTTTTCCGCGTTTCATGACAGTCAGTATCATGGTTTTCAACTTTCGCTAGATATATTTTTTCTACAAAGTTCTCTGTTATTTGTATATGAACCGACTGAAAGAATTCTGTGCTTTTAAAACCAGTTCAGTTCTGTAGATGAACAGCATTTGTTTGTGTTTTGATTTTTATTAAGATATCTAAAGAAATACCCTTAACAATTGAGCTTTTCAAACCAAAACAACAGAGTGGCGAACAAGCTCGTTTTCAGAGATTCGTATTCATGCCAATACATCTCAATATATATCACTACTTGGGAATAAAATTGGGAATAAAATTCCCAAGTAGTGATATATATTGAGATGTATTGGCATGAATACGAATCTCTGANGAAATGTGCTCTGTGGGATTATTTCAACAATTGAGCTTTTGTTCACCATATTTCTTGACTAACATGCTACTACTGATAAACCATTCTGCCACTGAGTACTGCAACGTGTCGAGTTTATGCTCTAAACAAATTATTTTCGGCGGTTCATTACGTTCATTTCGTATTCAGTTCTTCATAAGAGAGCAGTTTTCGTGAACCGGGTTGAATGAATGGAACTGCCGTGAATGTGCATGATACAAGCTAGTAAAACAGTTCGCTATCGTTCGTTCGCATCATTAGTTATTTATTTGTATATTTTACCAATATGTATTATATTATCCCAGTACTTTATTCTTCATTCCAGCGATATATATGTATTCAGCACTTATCTTTCCTTGCTTAAGAAATACCTTAAAAACACAATAAAATGTGTGCTATATCCTGCTTTTAAGTACGCGAAAGACAAATGAAAGCCCCAATTGAAAAAAATTCAAGTTGGCCCAAAGTGCTTAAAACCACAGTAAACTTATAATTTTTCATGCATCATATAATTTTCAACATTCTGGAGTTTTTCAGCAAGTTTTGTAGTTTGAATGCTAGCAGCTTATTCCTGTCGGGTGCCACAGGCTAAAAGTTCAGCTGAACGCATTTTAAGATTGAAGTTTTGGTTCAGTTCAAATAAATGGCATAAATTGAACATGGTTTGGAAATCTCACTTCTTTTAAAAGTGAACAGGTTACCTATTTTCTATCAACTAGAGGGTACCGAAAAACTTTATTCATAATTCTCTAGATACCAGTCTACAATTTTATAGTATAAACCCTGACGTATTCCGAACTTGAAATTTAATTGAATCACTTTAGAAATTTGGCACAAATGATGAATGAGCGGCGAGGTATTCCGGACAAGTTGACGGTGTTACGTTATCTACAAAGTACTGATCAAACCATTCGAGAAACTTCAGTCTTGGATGCATCAGACGGCGGTCCGTTTCATAGCAAACCTGTAGAGCAAGGTGTTGAGCTACCTTCAGATTTGCCTCAAACTGCCATGGCATATGCTGGAGTGCAAGAACTTGAACAAGTGCGAAAAAACTTGAATACTGATGAAATTAGAGCCTGTGAAGCTGAAGAAAATGCTCTGATAGAAGAAAAAGCGTTGTATGCCGAACTGGATCGTACGAAAACACTACGTGAGCAAATTCAGACTAAGAGTGAAATTTTAAACCGCATCAAGTTGCTGAAGGAAGAAACCGCTACGGCTTTAGAAGATCCATAACTGATTTGATCGACTAACCGTGGCATTTTCAGGTCGTTTACGTATCTCATTAGCCTTTTATACCTCTCCCTCAGACAATTTCTATTCCGCAATCCAAAACCAATGTCAAAATTAGGATGCCTTTCCCCATAGGCGAAGCGGTCGTAAAAGGAATAAAAATTACCACTGAAATAACTTACAGTCTTCTGCTAAGAAGGGTGCATTGTTTGTTGTTGTCGCTTCTGAATCAGCGGATATTAACGAAAACTTAGCGTCGTTTTCCCTTTTAAAGGTTCATCAAGATGGCTTGATTTTATTGGTATAGATTATTTCCATGTAAACTGCGTTCATTCCACATAATTATTCAAAATTTTACTCTTTTTCATAATCAATCGGTTGAAAGAATAACTGCTCACCCGGGTCGTTATGGAAGAAGCCGTCACTTACCCAACCTAGCGTCTGTGATTCAATTCCAAATTTCCTGTTATAGATCAAGTTACAAAAGGTAAAGCCGTAGTTTGCTGAACAATTGAGAGAGAATAGTTGGGTCTATTAAACTGTACGCTGTGGGGGTTGAGGATCTCAAACACATAATAATAATAATTTCATTTCGCTCGTTCGCCGAGCTTCGCAATTTGTTTGCAAACGCTTCATCGCCAGCCGAGATGACATCATTAGTGCTTGTGAAGTGGATGGTGATAAAACGCTTGCAAGTATATTGCCAAGCTCGGCTGACCAATGAAGCTAATCGACCTTTACGGCCTACCGATAAGTCTTCTTACGGATCTCAAACAGCTCAAGCGACCTCCTAGTGTCTCGTTGCCCGAGGTAGACAAAAACACTCGTGGAGGTCATAGACGTTT